TCTCTCGATTCTTCGAGGACCTTCGGGGTCGGACAATTCAATCAGAAAAAATCATGGTCTTTTTCGATGTGACTTCGTTGTTCACATCTATACCGCCAAATCTGACGCACCAAATATTTCACAATAGACTTGAGGAGGCATATAACGAGGCCCGAAACTCAGTCAAAAGTGAACATATCATGAGGTTATTGAAATTCTGCCAAAAAACATACTTTACTTTGCCGGAGAAACCTACGAACAGATCAAATGTACTCCGATGGGCTCCCCGATCTCAGGTTTAGTGGCAGAACTGGTCTTGCAAGAACTAGAAAACATCGCCCTCACCCAACACAGGCACGTCTTTTTGCGTCGTTACGTGGACGAAGCATTTGTTATCATCAAGAAGAGCATGCTTCAAAACTTCCATAACTTGCTCAATGGAATCTCTCCTGACATACAATTTAAGAGGGAAGAAGAAAAAGAGCAGCAGCTGCCTTTCCTTGATGTCCTCGTCAAGAGACGCCGAACGGTATAGTCGAGACGACGGTTTACAGGAAGGCAAGGAATACAGCGCAAATTCTCAGTTTTCACAGCAACCATCCAGTTGCTCACAAACGGAGCAGTATAAAAACGCTCTTCAAACGGATTCAGGCTCACTGCCGTAAGCTGGAGGAAAAGTAACGTGAGGCCCGATATCTCCGCGACCAAGTTATGCGGCACGGTTCCGCAAAAAATTTAAAAACTGATGCCTACACGTTCGGCTCCAGAGGACCCAAACGGAAGAACCACCGAGGATATGGCACGCTATGCCACACATCAAAGACGTCTCAGAAGCGACTGAGCGCATCGCTGCGGGACTAGGTGTTGGAATTGATACAGACCCAAAGCTGCCATGCGCAGCAGGAGGATAAAAATAAAAGACCGACTTACGCCGAATGAATAATCTGGAGTAGTGTATCGCATCCCATGCCTAAGCTGTCCTTGTAATTACACAGGCCAAACTGAACGCATGGTCGGATCGCATATACATGAACACAAGTTGGCCGTGTGACGAGGCGACGAATTATCACAAGTCGCAGCTCACACCTATGAAACAGGCCAGGAGTTCAACTTCGCGGCCGTCGAGGTACTCGCCCACGCCGGACAGAAGACGAGCAGGGAATTGATTAAAGCCTGGTCCACGGACGGGAATTCAGTCAACCGATGTGTCGAATTGGCGCCGGCGTACAGAGCATTGCGCAATTACGTACAGTCACGGCTAGACGCCCGTCACAGTTAATTGGGCCCACATCCTCTGTAATCACCCCATTTTCGTTGCTCATGTGGCCAATCGGCGCCCACACCAGAGAGTTATCGATTTCTACACGTTCAAATTTTAAATTTTTTGTACACACGTTATAATCAGCCACTTGTTTGTTCCTGTTTCCTCTTCTCTGAAGATGAACGCCTGCACGGTTTTGAAAGCTCAGAACAATACACAAATCAATCCGATGTTCGACTATTCTTCTTCCTTACAGAAGAAGCTGTATAACTGCCGCAAGAAATTCTTAGATGGTCAAACGACTCGTTGAATTCCATTCCGCACATCCTCTGTACGATTTGTGGATTAATGTCTCTGGGCATTTCCTACTTAGTCTTGGGACTCAACAACAACCGTACACATTCAACAAATGGAATGACTCAGCACAGGTCTTCTCTCAAGCTCTCCTCACATACGACAGTTCGATCGTTTCTTCCGACGATGACCGCCGTTTACCCTAGGTATAGCGGGCACAGGGGTGATCGTTTGCGCTTGAATTAGTTTATAGCGATAGTAGACTTGCGCAACATCTACCGTGCACTCTTATCCCCCTCACCTTAGCCAAGCAGCATGATCAAAGAAAATTGGAGGCAGGAGAGGGCGCAGGTGCGGCGTGATCCTGTACCTAGGCGTGTCATAACGCTTTCAAGGTTAGGGATTTAGCATAGGGCGTGCATTCCCAATAACGCCCGCAACCACAACTACGATCCCCTAAGCCCCTTAAAGCAACAAAGGAAGATATGTCCACGAGGCTATACAGAGGTAAAGCTGTAAAATAAAGAAAGGAATCAGGAAGCTGCGTCGGAACCAGGTAAATTGGAGAAGGCGCTCGCAAACGTGCGCATAATCAGGATCCGGACGTTCTTATGCAGAATGTGCTTGTTCCAGGAAGATGACGAGGTCACCGACGCAAGTTGCATGCACTTGAAGGCCACCAAAC